TTCCCGCGCACGTCCCCGTGAGGTTTCCTGGCCCCTAAATTGCTAGCTCGGGAACCAAGAAAGCTAGGAGGCTGAAACTTTCAGGAAATTTTCCCAACTCATCTAAAACTTAATTTTATCAGATTCAACCCTCCCTTGTGCGGGTGTCATGTACGGCCCCGTGAAAATTTTTGGCAGGAAAATGGATAATTCCGAAACGAGGGAAGCTGGTAGGCTGAAACTTTCAGTAAATGTTCCCAACTCATCTACAACTTAAGTTTATCAAATTCAGCCCTCGTTGTGCGTGGTTACTATGTACGGCCCCGTGAAATTTTCTAACTGCAATTTGGGTAACTCGAGAACTGAGAAGGCTGGGAACCTGGGATTTCAAGGGAATGTTCCCTGTCCAAGTATACCGTGGATAATTAACTTCCCATAATTCGAGGACTAGTATGTACAAGAGATTCTTATCTAGCGGAATCTCGAATGATCTTATTACAGCACAAAACACTGCAAAAACGCATGATCGCATAGGCCCACCCAATGCGCGTCGCCAGTGATATTTTTTTGTGTGGTCACAACGAAAATTTTCATAAACCGCTAATTTGCGAGATGCCTGACTATTTATGCAGTTGCAGAGAGGCATTCCGAATGGAAAAGCAGCCACAAATAATTATACAAGTTTTTTTTTTTCAGTGCGCTTGGAGGTGCCGATGAGAATGCAGAGCAGTTGGATTGCCACAGCTCCAAAATGGAGCATATCGACGAGCGGTATGTACGCCTACCGCAGATTTCTAGCGAAGGCGTGCCGCTTCCGCCACGCTATGCCCGGTGAGTACTAGTGAAATAAATATAGAAAACCGAAATTTGAAAGCAGGTCGAATATTGTGCACAAGTGCTGGACACTCTTATACAGCATGGCTTATGGGTGTAGCCTGAAAGAAAGGGCATCCCGCTCATCCGAGCCAACTTCTGAGCCAGGAGACGTAATAATTTTGCCAACCTAATTCAGGGGAATGGGGGAATGCTGAAAACTTTCGGGACTTGAACTTCTTGAAAAACTTCGAAGTATCCTATTTGTTTCCCTTTAACTGTGGTAACTTTTCCAGATTATAATCTTTTTGTAGAATGTCTTCTTTTGTGGTTGGAAAAAGTTGGTTATACATAGTAAATAAATATTCCCACAGGAGAAGCATAGTAATATTCGGACTGGTAAAGAGACAACTGTAATCTGATCCATTTAGCTTTTTAATCGCTGAATCTGCCAAAACTGCTTGATGATTCATCATCTTTCTTCCCTTCTTTCGAATTTCTTCTTACTCTACTTTTTTTATGCGTTTTGCGCTGTGTAACAGCAGCACAAGACGCATATTATCACGGGATTGTCTGTGTGTGTGTGTGTGTGTGTGTGTGTGCGTGTGTGTGTGTGTGTGTGTCCCACATTTTGTCTCGCACTTTCAACTCGTGAACCATAAAAGCTAGACGACTGAAATTTTAGTAGAATGTTCCTCGCCAACGTGTGACCCCGCAAATTTGAATTCAGCCTTTCCGTTCCTGTGGGTAACACGTACGGCCCCGTGAAATTTCTTGCGAGTAAAATTATCTCGGGAACCACGGAAGCTAGGGAGCTAAAATCTTGTGGGTATGTCATCTGCCCACGTGTGACCTAGAAAACTTAAATTCAACCTCTCCATGCTGGCGGGTAGCACGTACGGCCCCGTGAAATTTCTGCTTGATCAGTGAGTGGTATCTAAGAGAAGGTGAGCGGTCACTACGGCAAACTCCGAAGAGATGGAGCACAAATATCAACGAATAATGAATAATAACCAAAAGTACACAGCTCCGAAGCGAAGGACCTGGCATTCCTGCGACCGACTTGTGGGAGCATCACAGTGACATCACTACCGTGGGATACAAGTTTTGGTATATAAAAAAGCAGTACGAACTGAACAAGCGAGACATATGTTACCGTCTTTGTACCGCGCTAAAACAGTGGTTGATCGAAGCGCTGACATATGTCTCGCTTGTTCTTCCGGTGCTGAATTTTGGTACAAATTTGCTTGATCGTAACCCCTATACCGTTTAAGAGTGCGAGAGGGTGAATTGAGATAAAAATTTGACTGAGAATGCGGTCAGTTGCTGCAGGTGAAGCGCCAAACTGAGCTGGATTAAGCTCAATTACACCTCGATTAGTTGTCGTTTTGTAGTAGCACACATGCACACTAGCGTCATTTATATAAGCTTGCAATCACTGCGTAGTGGATGCGGCCAAACGGTGCGGTTATCCTTCAAGGGAAGTGAGTTGATTTATTGTGCACGCGTGCTCTATCTCGCATATTAAAATCAGCATTTGTTGGAAAACTATGTAATTACCAAGGTTATACATCATTTATTTTCAAGCAAATAATTAATGGATTTCCAGGATTGTGTGTTTGAAATGCGGGCATCCGGGAAATCGTGTATTGAAAGTTGGATTCGAAGCAAGCGCAGTGGCCGTTGCCCTCAGTGCAACTATAGCGCTCGAC